GAATTCTGATAACGTCAAGCAAACCTTGGCGATTTATGGCCTCCCCCAAACTGATCTCATTGAGCCCCACATCGAGCCTAATCTTAAATTTGTCGACTTCGTGGAAGCCTTAGCTGATCTTTATACCAGAATTCAGGCCTGTTCCGAATTCGAGAAATCAGGAATGTATCTCGAGCAATGTGCAATGTATAAGGGGTTGCCCGACCCGAAATTGTTTAGGAGGAGCCTGAGGTTGGCCAGGGAGCATGCCGTTGACGTGCATTCTAAGGTGGTACTCTCCACCTGGTTGAGGTTTGAGAGGAGAGAGGATGAGCTTATTGGGATATCGGCAATGGATTGTTGTGGGCGGAGCATGGAATGCCCTAGGACTTCATTGGTGTCAGGTTACAATCCCGAATCAATCCATGATCCCTGCAGGTGTACTAGGAGTCCAAAGGAAGATGAGGATGACGATTTTGCTGCGACAGACGAGGAATGCTCAACGTCATGGAATCATGAGGAGGTTGATGAAGATGACTTGGACATGTCGTTTTTTATTGGGGACGATGAGATCAGGTGTAGTAGATATAAGATTTCATCGCTTTCGAGACCATTCTGGGCGATGCTGTATGGTGGCTTCATGGAATCACGTAGAGAGAAAATAAATTTTTCAAAGAACGGCATATCTGCAAAGGCAATGAGGGCTGCAGAGGTGTTTAGCAGGATAAAAACCGTGGATTCTTTTGATGAAGATACTGTCTTGCAACTTCTAGGGTTGGCTAACATGTTCTGCTGTGAGGAGATGAAGTCTGCTTGCGATGCATATTTGGCATCTCTGGTCGTTGATATGGAGAGTGCCATGCTACTTATCGAGTACGGCTTGGAGGAGACGGCACATCTCCTGGTGGCAGCTTGCTTGCAGGTGTTCTTGAGGGAACTCCCAAGCTCAATGCACAATCCAAATGTCATGAAATTTTTTTGCAGTTCTGATGCCAAGGAAAGGCTGGCTATGGTGGGACATGCGTCGTTCTTGCTTTACAATCTTTTGAGCCAGATTTCAATGGAAGAGGACATAAAGTCAAACACAACGGTGATGCTGTTAGAAAGGTTGGGAGAATGTGCAAGCGAATGCTGGCAGAAACAACTTGCTTTCCACCAGCTGGGATGCGTAATGCTTGAAAGGAAAGAGTACAAGGATGCTCAGAAATGGTTTAGGGCGGCTGTAGATGCTGGTCATGTTTACTCCACCGTTGGTTTTGCAAGGGCTAAATACAAGCGCGGTCACAAATATAGGGCATATAAGTTGATGAACTCCCTCATTTCTGATCACACACCATCCGGGTGGATGTATCAAGAAAGATCTTTGTATTGTAATGGAAAAGAGAAACTGATGGATTTAAGTACAGCGACTGAATTGGATCCAACTCTTTCATATCCATACAAGTACAGGTCTGTCTCAATGGTGGAGGAGGAGGATAAGCTTGAGGCAGCAATTTCAGAGATCAACAAAATAATTGGTTTCAAGGTCTCTCCTGATTTCCTTGAGCTGCGTGCTTGGTTTTTAATTTCCATGGAGGATTATGAAGGAGCCCTAAGAGATGTTCGAGCACTTCTAACTTTAAATCCCCACTACATGATGTTTCATGGAAAGATGCAGGGTGACCATTTGGTGGAGCTCCTGCGTCATCATGTTCAAGAGTGGAGTCAAGCTGATTGCTGGATGCAGTTGTATGACAGATGGTCTTCTGTAGATGATATTGGATCACTAGCTGTGGTACATCATATGTTGACTATTGACCCAGGAAAAAGCCTCTTGAGATTCCGACAATCTCTCCTACTTCTACGGTGAGTGTTTATTGTCATTATCATGTGTGTTTGGATTGTAAGTTATTTGCCTAAATATAATTGCTTACATCACCATTATAATTTCCAATACATCTTTTTATCTTTCCAATTACCTTTTTATCTCACATACATCACATCACAAAAAGTGCTACAGTAAAAATATCTCAAATAACTTACAATCCAAACACACGTATCGATATTTTCCACCCTGACTATCATCGATCTTTGTTAAAGATTTACATTTCATGAAAAAGATTGCCAATTTTGTATTAAGCAACTTCTACTTGTTTGCTGTGAAAGGCAGTGTTCCTTAATTTGATCACCATGCATGCCAAGTACGTAGGAACTTGTTTTTCAGAGTACCATGCTGCATTCTGAACTATGAGTCTATGACCAATCTATATTAGAGCGTTGTTTTTTTGTCTATCTTGAGTGGCTCAAGATGAACTTTGGTGGTCTCTGGCTGCCCTCCTATTCTATTCAACGGTGCTATTAGAGAAGCAGCTTCATTCCTTGACACTTTTTTGCTGTAGAATGTAGAAGATCATAACATGAGTCATTTGTTTGTTCCTTTATTTTAACATATTTTCCCCCTTTTCTGCTGCGTATTTGAAACAAATCCTGATTTTCACAAATCTTACAGATTAAATTGCCACAAGGCTGCAATGAGAAGTCTGAGAATGGCGCGAAATCTTGCTACCTCTGAGCATGAGAGGCTTATTTATGAAGGATGGATTTTATATGACACAGGTTATCATGAGGAAGCAATAGCTAAAGCTGAGGAATCCATCTCTATGCAGAGATCATTTGAAGCCTATTTCTTAAAAGCTTATGTTTTGTCTGAAACAAATCCAGACGCCGAATCTTCACTATATGTTATACAACTTTTGGAGGAAGCTCTTAGATGCCCTTCAGATGGCCTGAGGAAGGGACAAGTAAGTCTTAGTCTCTGCATTATCTTTAATTTTCTCTTTTTTTTTTTTTTTTTGCTGCAATATATTACTCCACTGCGTAACCTTGTGGTTCTGCAGGCATTAAGTAATCTGGCAAGTATCTACGTAGATGTTGACAAGCTGGATAATGCTGTTGATTGCTACATGAATGCTTTAAATATTAAGCATACAAGAGCTCATCAAGGATTAGCACGGGTATACCATCTTAAAAATTTGCGGAAAGCTGCATATGATGAGATGACCAAGTTGATTGAAAAAGCAAGATATAATGCATCAGCATATGAAAAACGCTCAGAATATTGTGATGGTGAAATGGCTAAAAGTGATCTAAGCATGGCAACGCAGTTAGATCCCTTGAGAACATATCCATACAGATATAGAGCAGCAGGTAAACTGTGACTCAAACTTTTAGTATAATTCCTGTCTTCCTGATTCACTTAAAAAAGAGCAGTTGGACATCGAAGCGCTGTTCTATTTTTGTATGATTACAATTTTCTTTTCTCTTCGTAATTAGGCCTGGAACAAGTGTCTAGGCGGCAAAAACAAATGCCTGTATGCAGCAATTTTTTTTTTTTTTTTTTAAATGTAAATAATCACTACTTCCATGAACCACTTAAATTGGTAATATGTAACACATACCCTCCTTTAACTCTTTCCCAATGTCAAAATTACTAAAATCTATATACCACCCAGAGTTGTATTGTCACAATTGTAGAGTTCCTCTCAGCTTTTATGGCTAATATCACACATTTTGCGTTAATCTAGCTTTAGTAGGGCTGCAATTTTCTAATTCAAACTACCATAAGCAGTTATATGTTTATATGTTATGGCCTCGTTTTGCCAATGCTTATGCGTATGCCTTCCAGTTCTAATGGATGACCACAAGGAGGCAGAAGCAATTGCAGAGCTCACCAAGGCCATAACTTTTAAGCCAGACCTACAGCTGCTCCATCTCCGAGCAGCATTTCATGACTCAATGGGTGACAATTCTTCCACTCTCCGGGATTGTGAAGCAGCACTGTGTCTTGATCCCAACCATGCTGATACACTGGAGCTGTATCAGAAAACACGGGAGCGGGCTAATGAGCTGCAAACATGAGGAAGCAAGAGACTATCAGATTCTGCTTGATGGACTCCTGAGTGGGGATCAGTTTATTGCCACCACCTTGTTGTTCTTGTCGCACGAGGGCCACCACTGTCCTCATTAATCTTCTGGATTTGTCTTTTTAAGAATCCAGCTTAGATGGTCAATGCCCATACATCTAGCAGGAGAAGCTAGAGGAATTTCTAGATCAGAGAAATGACAGAGAAACTAGAATGGTTCAGATTGTAAATACAAGCATACAGTTTTCTTGTCAATGATGTATCAAACTCATGCACTTCATAGCAGAGTGCTCTTGTTCCCGTGCTCTTAATTAACACATCTCAACCAAAAGCTCAAAAACAGTTGCAGTTTCATGACCCATTATACCTGATAGAATTGCTGTTCGTAGTGGAGGGCCAGAGGCCGTGCAGCAAGAATGTAGCAGTAGTATGCTGCATCTAGTTCTTCATCCCCTCTGTTCTCCAGAATTCTTTTTAGTGAAACCTGAATTGCTCTATGGTTTAATTTGCTTCTTGTCTTAAAACTTGTAAATTCATTTTTTTTTTAAACTCTTCTTTTGGTTGGACAAGCAGAATATTTGGAATCTGCCAGCAGCTATGGCATTTTGCTTATTCTAAAGATGCAATATTCTGAGCAATCTATAACTCTCTTCAAAGTTCAAAGAAAAGAAAAGGAAAGGGGAAAAGGAAAATAAGAAACGGCGAGCTTCCTGTGGAGATGGACTTCTACAGTCATATTGATTTTTGACTCCAGGCTACTGGTCAGGTTAAACTGAAGGCAGTGTGTCGTCCTTGTTTACTTGCATTGCATGTCATGTAGTAGGTTCACTCGGCCAAGACTATTTGCACTGCTATATCCTAGTTTACTTGCATTGCATGTAGTGTTGTGGTACTAGGTTAACTTGGCCACACGGGTAATTTACATATGGCGCATGAATGGTACGTCCTTCCCCAACACATCACCTGTGAACCGTTTTAAGTGAAACTTTTCAGCTGATTGCACGAGAAACCCATAGTTCCAGCTGTAATATATATCTCCTGCACTGCAACTACCTCTTTTAAGACACAGCTCATCTTTAATCGTTCGCTCCAGTCTTACGTCTGCTTCATCTAAAATTTTTTTAGCCTGTAAGTTCGCTTAATACATATGCCAATACGTACATGGAAAAAGAAGAAAAAGCAGCCCTGAATAGGAGGAAGTGGCCTGCAGGAAAGCTGAACTTAAATGCCCCACTTCTATCGACGAGGCGAACTATTGGTGTCAACAGACTGGAGGATGTGCAAAATGCAAATTCGGTTCGCGTTTCTTGGGATAAATTCGAGAGGATACCTTTCTCTTGGGAGCAAACCCCTGGCAAGCCCAAGGAGAGGGGTGAAGAAAGCGACGGCGAGAACGCTGAAGAAATAATACCCCCTCCAAAACCACCGCCGGGCTGCCGATGGCTTCCAACAGAGGAAGAAGCCGATCCCAAGCGCGATTCGTGTGAAGGTGAAGCGGAGCGGGGGCATGACCATGATGATGGTTGCGAGGGGGACGTGGAGGATGACGGTGGAGTAGGGGCCCACGAAGATTGGAAGGGCGGTGATGGCGTTTCGTCGAACGAGCTGGACATATTCTCGTTAGCCCAGTCGGTCGAGACGGTTGACAGCTGGAAAGAGCTGAGGAGGAAATTGGGGATTGAAAATGGGGATATGGAGGAAGGCATAGGCTGTCATTCGCCCAGTTTTATGATCCAGCGATTTTTGCCGGACGCCAAAGCATTGGCTGCTGCGGCATCATCATCATCAACCAGCCTGAAGAAGGACCTAATTAATTCAGATGATGAGAAGAGCAAGAAGCATCCTAAATCAAGCAGCGGTGCCGGCAGAAGGAGAGCTTCCGGAGCTATTAGGACTGCGACGCAATCGTGGTCATATTCGTCGTGGAAGGGCTGCGGCCTCGATATTTTGTTGCCTTGGCGAATGAAACCCAGGCCATGCGGGTGTGGGGTGGTGAAGGGTAGACCGGCCATGGCACTGGCAACATCTAGACCTCAGTGGAGCGGCAGCAGCAGAAAATAGTAGTGTAGTGTAGTGTAGTAGTAACCGGTTGAGCAGTGCAGTAATCTCTTCATTTGCGTTTGCGAATTGCGATGATGAAAGTAAGCGCAGCCACAGCCAATTAGGCCGAAGAAAATTCGTTTTAAGGCAGCTCAAAATCTTCATTAATTCAAACACCTGGCACGTGGTGCAAGACTTCAAAACCCAGTGGAGGAGTGGTATAGGAGTATTTTAATTTTATTATCAAAACCTTAATTTCAGCTTTCAGGGGAGGTTTATGTAATTTTATAAATTTTAAGGAAGATTAATGAAATTGTTAGAAATGTCAGGGGGGTTTCTTAAATTATCCCATAATTCAACTGCCTCTCCTCCCTCTCGTTACTGGGGCCCCCCATTTAATTCAACTGCCCTTCCTCCCGCTTCTTCCACCTATTTGAAATTTTTGCACGTAACTCTCGCCCACACTCTCTCTCTTCTGTTTCGCCTGCCGCTCTCCATCTCCCATCGAATATCCGCTTTTACTCTCAAATTAAATAATAATAATAGAGAGTATGTCAACAACGAATCGATTCAAGACTTGACCGTCGGGAGAGAAAAAGAAAGAAAAGGCCTCTTATTACTCTCGACCTTTTGGTTGCTTCGTTTTGGTGCCCTAAGCAACTCAAATCTATCCATCTTCCTATTGTGGGTTTTCCTTGTTCAGGTAATTTCCGTTCATCTATGGGGTCTGGGTGCGTGTATTTTCATCTTTAATCGAATCTGCTTATTACTTTTTCTCCTCATTTTTAGTTGTTTTTTTTGTCTCGCTAGGGTTTATCGCTACTGTTGCTTAAACTTCCTTCAGGTGGAAATAGGCTACTTATCAGTTTGTTTTTGCGTCTTGATGAAGTAATGGCGGGCAAATTAGTTGAATTTGAAGAGGGGACAATAGGCATTAACATTTTTTTTTTAAAAAAAGGAATCCCTAATTGATTGAGATTCAATCTCTACTTTGATTCACCTTTCCACTTCGACGGGTGTTCATTTGGACCTTTTTTTCCCCTTTCAGCCTCTTTTCCTTCATTGATTGTTCTTATTATTATCATTATTGCTTTAAAAGTAGTATTTTGTTCGTCGCGGCGGCGGCTTGCAATAGTGTTGCTTTAGGAAACTCGAGGCTTTCTCCCCAGATCTATCTTGGCAATTAGGGAAGTTGCTACGTTTTGGTCACAATGGAAGTGCTAGAAGTAATTCCTTTTGAGTATGAAACTGTTTTTCCAGATAACTTTTTTTATTCTTGCATATGAATGGAGCTGCTCCTCATGAGGCTAACTATTTTTTGTATTCTTTTTTAAGTTACAGATTAACAGAAGCATTGCCTGCATATTGTGATTGCTCAAACTTAGCATTGCTACATCAAATTATTCCTTATACTGTGTGCTTAATCTCAAATTTTCCTCACTTAGCATACATTAATTCTCGTTGTTTATGACTGTCATTGGTTTTTCATGGGGCGTACCCTGGTATTTTAGTTTCTACATTCATTGTTTGCTGCATCTTTGTTTGAATATACTCATTAGCGTTTTTATTGACTTGCAGGAACAATGGCCATGGAAATCACTCAAATCCTTTTGGCTGCTCAATCAGCGGATGCAAAAGTTCGAACCGATGCAGAAAGTAACCTTACTCAATTCCGAGACCAGAACTTGCCGAGTTTCCTTTTGTCATTGTCTGTTGAGCTCTCCAATGAGGGTAAGCCAATGGAGTCTCGTAGACTTGCCGGAATTGTGCTTAAGAACTCATTGGATGCAAAAGAGGCCTCTCGGAAGGAACACCTTGTGCAGCAGTGGTTGACAATTGATTCTTCTTTCAAATCCCAAATAAAAAACCTGCTTCTGAGCACTCTTGGGTCCTCTGTGCAGGATGCAATTCACACAGCTGCCCAAGTAATTGCTAAGATTGCCTCTATAGAGATTCCTCGTAAGGAATGGCCAGAACTCATTGGTTCGTTGCTTGTCAACATGACCCAGCCACATAGGCCTGCCTCCCTCAAACAGGCAACCTTGGAGACTCTTGGCTATGTGTGTGAGGAGATATCTCACCGTGATCTGGTGCAAGATGAAGTAAACTCTATCCTCACTGCAGTTGTCCAGGGCATGAATGTGACTGAGCAAAATCCTGCAGTAAGACTTGCTGCAGTTAGGGCTTTATACAATGCCCTTGATTTTGCACAAACCAACTTTGAGAATGAGATGGAGCGGAACTATATCATGAAGGTGATTTGTGAAGCAGCGGTTGCAAAAGAGGCTGAGATAAGGCAGGCTGCTTATGAATGTCTTGTATCCATTGCGTCAACATACTACGAGGTCCTTGATCCCTACATGCAAACCATCTTTGAACTCACATCAAATGCGGTCAAAGGAGATCAGGAGGCTGTTGCCCTTCAAGCGGTTGAGTTCTGGAGCTCTATCTGCGATGAAGAGATAGAGCTACAAGAGTATGAGGCCCCTAACAGTGAGGACTCTACTGCTTCACACTCACACTTCATTGAGAAGGCTCTACCAACTCTAGTTCCGATGTTGTTAGAAACTTTACTAAAGCAGGATGAGGATCAGGACCAGGAGGATGGGATTTGGAATCTTGCCATGGCTGGTGGGACATGTCTTGGTCTTATTGCAAGAACTGTAGGGGATGCTGTCGTACCCCTGGTGATGCCTTTCGTTGAAGCTAACATCCTGAAGCCAGAGTGGCGATCCCGTGAGGCGGCTACCTATGCGTTTGGCTCAATTATTGAGGGACCCAGCATTGAGAAACTCTCTCCAATGGTGAATGCTGGCTTAGATTTTCTGCTTAATGCCATGAATGATGTAAATAGCCATGTGAAAGATACAACTGCATGGACTCTTAGCCGTATTTTCGAATTGCTGCACAACCCAGCAACTGGATTCACTGTAATCACTCCTTCTAATCTCCAGCGAATTGTGGTGGTTTTGTTGCAAAGTATAAAGGATGCCCCACATGTAGCTGAGAAGGTTTGTGCTGCCATTTATTATCTTGCCCAGGGGTACGAAGATGCGGGACCTAGCTCCTCTCAGCTCACACCTTTTCTTCCAGATCTTGTTGGTTGTCTTATTGCGACTGCTGATAGAACAGATGGCAGTGACTCCAAACTCAGGTCCTCTGCTTATGAGACCTTGAATGAGGTTGTTAGGTGCTCTAACCTTACTGAAACATCTGGTATCATTGCACAACTTCTCCCTGTTATTATGACTAAGTTGGGGCAGACAGTAGAGCTTCAGATTATAACATCAGATGATAGGGAAAGACAAGGAGATCTTCAAGCTTCTCTCTGTGGTGTTATTCAGGTCATTATCCAGAAACTAAGCAGTGATGATGGAACCAAACCAATCATTATCCAAGCAGCTGATCAGATCATGATGTTGTTCCTTAAGGTTTTTGCTTGCCGTTGCTCTACGGTGCATGAAGAAGCTATGCTTGCTATAGGCGCGCTTGCCTATGCTACCGGGCCTGAATTTGCAAAGTATATGCCAGAGTTTTACAAATATTTGGAGATGGGTCTGCAGAATTTTGAGGAATACCAAGTCTGTGCCATCTCGGTTGGTGTTGTTGGTGACATTTCTCGTGCCTTGGAAGATAAGGTTTTGCCATACTGTGATGGGATCATGACGCATCTTCTCAAGGATCTCTCTAGCAGTGAACTACATCGGTCTGTGAAGCCACCCATTTTTTCATGCTTTGGAGACATTGCTCTAGCAATAGGAGAAAATTTTGAGAAGTATATTAATTATGCTTTGCCGATGATGCAAAGTGCTGCTGAAGTGTGTGCTCAGATTGACAATAGTGATGAGGAGATGGTGGACTATGGGAACCAACTGAGACGCAGCATCTTTGAAGCTTATTCTGGAATTCTGCAAGGATTTCAGAACTCCAAGTCTGATTTGTTAATGCCCCATGCTCCTCATCTCTTGCAATTCATAGAAGTTGTTGCCAAAGACCACCACAGGTATGTGATTGCATCAGGGTTACGTATAGACCTTATGAGATGCAGCTAAGGTGCATTCAGATTTGCAAGAATGAGTTAAGCCTAGTGGTGAATCACTAATAGTGTTATACTTGTATTATGAGTTACTAACACTTTCATCATTTTTCATGGGCTTGTTTGCTTGTGTGTGGAATTGCCTGTGCAAGGTGTGTCCTCTTTATGTTTGTGTGCAGTTTTGTGCACCTGCCTGCACGTTGTCTGAGATAAAGGTGTAAAAAGCTGATGGTGATCATATTGATTTTTTTTCCATAATGTGTAAAGTGGTGTTTTCGATTTATGTTGTAAATTCATTTTGAGGTTTGGTTTCAGCTAATATCTTACTTGCTATAAAGGAGCTTTTTGTTCTGCATTCTTTAAGTCAATGGGTTGTGTTTTACTCTTTGAATATGAGAATAGTTTGGCCAAATCTCAAGTGGTCAAAATGTTTTAATTAATATGAGAATGCTTTTCACCCTATATTTTTGTAGTATTCTCTTAGATTTTTTAATTAATGCTTTCGCATGTTTTGTAGGGATGAAGGTGTGACAAAAGCAGCTGTAGCAGTTTTGGGAGATATAGCAGATGCACTTGGTTCAAACGTCAAGACTTTGTATAAGGATCGTGCATTGTGTATGGAGTTTTTAAATGAATGTCTACAGTCTGATGATGAACAGCTCAAAGAAACTGCTGTCTGGACTCAAGGGATGATTGGACGTGTCTGTGGGTAATATTCTATGTGTCGGCTGCTATTCATCATCATTTATGGAGTTTCAGCTTGAAGCTTTTGGGTGAAGATTAAAACGAGTTACTTTGTTTATGTTTTTGGGGGCTGAGTTTTGGGTCATGGGGTGGAGGTTTCTGTCATTGTACGGCAAACGTGGGTTCCTGAGGCGATGAAATTCTTTTCATTGATCAGATCTAGTGTCTATGGTTGAAGGGTCCTGTAAGTGTCCAGCAAGGTCACTAGGTACTGGTGGCCTGCTATTCTGATGAAACTTTATTTGGTCACAAGCATAAAAAACTATTGATCCTTTCTATTAATCTTGTCTTTGGCACTATCAACAATATATACTTTGCCACTGAATTTTATCATTTTAGACATTTGCTTGCTGGATAATATTATCTTGTGCAATTTATACCAACAATTGCTGAGGCCTTGGATCTTGTTTGATTGTAGCAGGGAGGTAGCAGCACCCATGTCCACATTCCAACTGAATTTTACATTTCCGTTTTTGTATTGATACAAAGAGGGCTTTATGCTTTCCATCTCCATTTTGTATTCAATTATTGATTGAATGGTTTGCAGT